TCACTCTAGGAGTGGTACGAATACCCCTGCATTAACTAAACAAACCAGATCTTTGCTTCCATCTTGTATATCATTTGTGATAGTCATTTAACTTTTCTATAATAAGCTTTAATATATGTAAGTATGCGTGATTTCCAGTTCTGCTGTCATTTTAAATAAGATTAAATGAAGAATTATCAGATTATCAGGTTATCAGATTAATGAAGAATAAGCAGAATGTGAGTTTTCATTTTATTCTCACTTGTTTGTTCTTTAATGTTCTTTCTTTAGGTAGATCTGAGTAGGTGGAGCTTTAACACTCTCTACAAGGGATGTTTATTGGCACCACATTTCCTCAGTTTTTGAAAATCTTTACTGCTCTGTCACTGTCGGAGGATAATTGTGGAAAGTAAAGAATTCAAGGGTAGAGGGTTTTCACTAAACCTGAATATCTTTTTTAAAAAAATATTTATTTTTATTGCAAAGACATATTTACAAAGAAGGAGAGACAGAGTAATCAATATCTTCCTTCTTCTGGTTTACTCCCCACATGCCATAGTGGCCAGACTTGAGCCAGTCTGAGATCAGGAGCCTGGAGTTTTTTCCTGGGTCTCTCACACAGGTGCAGAGTCCCAAGGTTTTGAGCCATCTTCCACTGATTTTCCAGGCTGTAAGCAAGGAGCTGGATGGGAAGTGGAGTAGCCAGAGTGGAAACCAGTGCCCATATGGGACAGCACTTGTAGGCAGAGGATGAGCCAGCTGAACTATCACTCTGGCCCTAAGTCTGAGCAGTTGGCTCCACTCTTTTTGCCGAAAGGATTTCTGAGAAGATGTAATTCTTATTTTTGTCTCTCTGTAGATAAAATGCTTACCCTCTATAGCCTCTTTCTGTAGTTTGAATATTTATGTGTCTGGTAATCAGGGATTTTTGTTCATTTTTATTTTTGTCATTGATTTGACTTAGCATTTTCTGAGCATTCTGGATCTGTAGCTTCAAATACTTTGTTCTTTTCTTTCTTCTTCTGGTGTTCTCATTGCATGTTGCATTTTAAATCATTATTCCACAGCCCCTTTTTTTTAGTCTCTTGTTTTATATTCAGTTATAGGTTTCTATTGAGATACCCTGAAACTCCAAACACACTTTCTTGAACCATGGACTAGTAAGTCCATGAGAGCATTTTGCCTTCTGTTACTATTGTTTCTTTTTGGTTCTTTCTCATCATTTCCTTCTCTTCCTTTGCTTTGCTCAGCACACACACTGTCTGCTCCATACATTAAAGCCCTTACATGTTAATAACGTTATAAATTCCCTGTCTAGTCATTCCAACATGTCTGGTTCCGATGCTTGCTTTGTCTCGTGAAATTGTGCTCTCTCATCTGCTTACTCACTCCTCAAATGGCCAAAATGGGCTTGCTTGAAGTCAAGAGCCTGGAGCTTCTTCCAGGTCTCTTGCACATGGGTACAGGAATCCAAAAACTTGGCCATTTTCCTCTGTTTTTCTAGGCACATTAGCAAGGACCTGGATGGGAAGTGGACCATTGATGGGACTTGAATCAGTGTGCCTAGGGGATGCTGGTACTACAGATGGAGGCTTAACCTACTAAACCTACTAATAATTTTTCTAAGATTTCTGCTCAGCATTTCATTTGTATTTGCAAAAAATAATCTGATTATATAATTACTGAAATCAATTTATTGCTTAAATGGACATTTGTTATCTACTAGGAGCTAGCACTGTGAACATGTAAAATGTGACTGGAACCGGCCTTACGAAACTTCTTTGGTGAAGGAGATCATCAAACATTAAAGTTTGAAGTGCTTCTGTGTCAACTATACCGTTTATATTATATATAAGTCTGCAACCCAGAGACAAACCATTGACTAGAAATGCAAGTTAAGACAATAAGGGGGTGCCATTGGGCATCGTGATTGGGATGGTGCTTAGTCACTCACATGCCACGTTGTAGTGCCTGGGATCAGGCCCTGGTTGTACTCCTGACTTTGCTGTCGATTCTGGCTTCCTACTGCTGTGCACCTGAGGCAGGCAGTGATAATAACTGACTTAACTGAGAAACTGCCTCTCCCGTGGAGACCTGGATTGTTTCCATAGCTTCTGGCTTCCGCCTGGCCCACCTGCAGCTGTGGCAGGCGTTTGGGAAGTGAACAAGCAAATGGGAACTGTGTCTGTGTTTCTGTCTCCCTGTCTTTCAAGTAAATTTTAAGTTACCAAAGTAAGAGTACATATTTCATTGCATTAGTAATTAGCAAGAGTTTTTAATTACAAGCGTTATTAATTGCAAGAGTAATTAACAAGAGCTTTGCAGCAAGGGTGTGTGAAAGAAAATGGAGAGCTCTGAAGAACTCCGTTGTTTAAACAGTTACAGGAGGAGGGACCGTAGACAAACGGAGACGAAGTGCTTGCTGAGAGCAATTCACCAGTCCAGAATGTTGAGAGGATTCGGTTGTATCAGATGTTACCAAGCAATCATTAGGATGAGAACAGCTTACATTTGACATAAAAAAAAGATTTTTAACGTTAGTTGTGATTTCAGAAGGACAGATAGCAGATTGGAACAAGTTGAGCAGTGAATGGAAAGAGAGAAAAGAGAGACAGCATACATTGGGAATCCCCTGGGGACTTGTGCTGAGAACAGAGCCCCGGAAGTGGGATTGCAGCTAGCTGGTGGTGGGTCAGGAGGGCTCAGGCAGGGAGCAATTGAGCTTTGATGGTAGAGAGCCCTCTCCTCACTCCCTTGGAACAGAAGGGAAGTTTTGATGCCAGTAAGTTATATAATGCAACTGGGGAAATGAGTGCATTTCCTCTAATGAGCTAAGACCTAGAGAGGCTGAAAGTGGTGCTGAAGGTTTGAAGTGAAATAAGGTATGAAATGACCTTCTCAAAAAAGTATGCAAAATAGCTAAATCAGGGAAAATAGCAAAAGTTACTGAGCAGTTATCAGATCCTTACTGTGCTTGAAAGCCAGTGTTGGTATTGCATTTGCCATATGGTGTTACGGTTTTTCCTTTTCCCCTCTGCATTTCTAGGGGAGAGGGATATTAGAAAAGATTATACTCACTCAAGTGTGGAAGACTCAGTTGTGACTTCTAAACAGCAGTAATTGCAACAAGGTTTTCTCACTCTTTTTCCTTAGCCCTCTCTCTCTAACAATTTTCTTCTTGATTTCTGAGGGCTTTTGTTTTGTTTTGTCATGTGATAAGTGTATACACAGTTGGTGTTCAATGCATTTCACCCTTCAAGGAGTGTGTAACTATGACGTTCTGGTCATCACAATGGCCACTACAGGTTCAGTTTTAAAAGTACTTATTAAGTCTACATTACAGTGTTGTTCTCCGCTGACACTGAAATGAAGGTTAGAATCCCTGTCCTAAGTAGCACAGCTTGAAATGATGGTCGGATCAGTGTGTGCTTCAAGCCAGGAAAACACGTAGAAGAGGACCGTGTCCAAGAAGAGACCTGTGGATGGTGTGTGATGAGTCCAGCGAGGCTACTGAGAGAGCGATGACCAAGGTCGTTAGTTACATTGGAACTTGGAAGATCCATTGTTTTTGTTTTGTTTTGTTTGACTTTGTTGTAAGTCATGGTTATGAGTTATGACAATGAAACACTACATTCAAAATCACATACAAAAAAGTACGTAAGCCAGAATCTGGGAGAAACAATAGGAACTTTAAGATTTTCCTGACTCAGTAGAGTAGCATGGACAACATTAAATTCTCTTAGCAGTGAAGTGTGATAACACGTCCCAGCTCTTGCTAGCTAGAGATGCTCATCCAAGGCCTTGGTGTCCAGGGGGCTCAGTCACGTAAGCATAGAGCTCCCACCAAGCTCATCCTAGCCACTCTTCCTTATCTCTCTAGCAGAGCCATTATTTGAATGCATTTTTTTAAGAGCAGTAGCTAGACTTACAAATCAGACATAAAATCGATCACAATAATATGTAGTTTCGTAAGAAATATTAGACAATATGGCTTAAAAACTAGAAGCTAAGCATGTTTAAGCATTACGTTAATTTTTCAAATGTTAATGTTGATTTTGTAATATAGTTTTCAGACTTCGTGGCGATTGTATGGCAATGTTATGTTTAACTCCCATTTTAAAAGTCTAGCTTTGCTTTTTAAATATCAGTATACCACTTAAAAACATACAGCGTTGATTAAATGCAAATGGAATGAAGAAAAAGAACTTTTGAGAGTCCGAATGGTTGAACATTGGAAGAGGGCAAGCTGGGGAAGTGGGTGGTGGGGGAAGTTAGATAACATTTAACAAAATGATTTTCTCTGAGTCAGACAGCTGGTGGCCAAAGTCAGCCTTAAATTCTGAGTCTTTGGATTCATAGCCTGCATTCTAAAAAGAAATAAGCAAAACAAAAGTAGAATGAAAGCAAATTGAGCTATTGGCATTGCAAATTAAAATAAGGAAATTGTATACATGATTCTTTTGAGCAGAAAATGAAGACATTGTTGAGGAATAACGAGACTCCTGTACTGGCCAAAACGTGGTGGCATTCAACAGTAATGGATTCAGAACACAGGTCCATCCTCATAGAAGTGGGTGGTACAAGGGCCGATCTTTGCTCTGCCTTGGAAGTCCTGCGCTTGGAAAAGTCACTTGCATTGTATGAGAGAGAGAGGTTTTCAGTGATTGGGCAGAACTCAGTGAGGGCTCCATGTACAAATGCCAGCTGACTTGTTTTTAGTATTAATTGCTACGTATAAGCAAATTTCCAATCTCTCAGAAACTGTCTATGAACTCTCTAGATATATAAGCAATGGCATATGAATTCTGCAAGGATGCATTGTTTGATGTATCTGTTCTTAAAGATTTTTTTTTTCAAAATGCACATCAACCTGGTTAGTTTTTCATATGAATGGACAATGTAGATTTTAACATACAGTATAAACCTAAGAAAATATTAAAAACATGTACTTTGTATTTAGTTAGACCCACACAGCTGTTTAGTCATCTTCAGCAATCATCGTTTTTCATGTTTCTTCCTAGGTTATTGAATCTTTGGGAATTATTATTTATAAAGCATTGGACTATGGCTTGAAGGAAAATGAAGAAAGGGAACTAAGCCCTCCACTAGAGCAGCTTATTGACCACATGGCCAACACCGTGGAAGCTGACGGAAGCAACGATGAAGGCTACGGAGCTGCGGACGAAGGCCTGGAAGATGAAGACGATGGAAAGAGGAGAACATCAGCTGTCCGTTCCTATCGGGATGTGATGAAGGTAAGGCAGCAGTTTGTCTCAAAATGTGCTTCATGTGAAAAATTAAAAGGGTGGTCCAGTACCTGACGATAATGCTCAGGCTTTCGACAGCCTGAATATGAGCTGTTATCAACACTTTAATGAGAAAGCAAAGTTAGCAGAGAGTGATGGAACGAGGTCTTCTATCCACTGGTTCACTCCCCAGGTAGCCGCAACAGCCAGAGCTGAGCCAATCCGAAGCCAGGAGCCAGGAGTTTCTTCCAGGTCTCCAACAGGGATGCAGGATCCCAAAGCTTTGAGCTGTCCTCCGCTTCTCTTCCCAGCCACAAGCAGGAAGCTTGTGGAGCACAAGTGGAGCAGCCAGGACACGATCCTGGCTCTTGAAAGAGAAGGATTAGCTAATTGAGCCACTGCACCAGACCCACTTGGGTCATCTTCTGCTTTTCCAGACATATCAGCAGGGAACTGGCTTGAAAGTGGAGCAGCAGGGGCTGGCATATTGGCTCAGCTCACTAATCTTCCAGCTCCAAGTGCTAGGATCCCACATGAGTACCAGGTCATGTCCCAGCTGCTTCACTTCCCATCCAGCTCTCTGCTTGTGGCCTGGGAAAGCAGTAGGGGACGGCCCAAAGCCTTGGGACCCTGTACCCACGTGGACGACCCAGAAGAAGTCCTGGCTCCTGACTTCAGATCTACTTGGTTCCAGCTATTGCAGCCATTTGGAGAATGAACCATCAGGTAGAAGATTTTTCTCCTCATCTCTCCTTCTCTCTGTAAATCTGCCTTTCCAATAAAAATAGGTAAATGTTTTTATAAAAAAAAAAAAAAGTAAGAAAGTGGAGCAGCCGGGAGTTGAATCAGCATCTTATGGGATGGCAGTAGTATGTGTAGGTGGTAGCTCTGCCTGCTTCATCACAGCACTGGCCCTATGGGTCATAATTTCTACTATGTTAAATTTATATCAATTAAAATTAAGGTGAGGCCAAGTGTGTGATAACCTAGCACCTGAATCCTCACTTTCGTACTCTGGGATCCCATGTGGGTGCTGGTTTGTATCCTGCTTGTACCCACTTCCCTTCCAGCTCCCTGCCGGTGGCCTTGGAAAGCATCAAAGGATGGGCCAAAGCATGGGGACTCTGCACCTGAGTGGGAGACCTGAAAGAAGCTCCCAGCTCCTGGCTTTGGATTGGCTCAGTTCCAGGCAACACAACCCCTTGGGGAGTGAACCATTGGATGGAAAATCTTTGTCTCTCCTTCTCTTTGTACATCTGCCTTTCCAATAAAAAAAAAAAGTCTTAAAAGAAAAAATCATGGTGGATTTGACTGTTCTGAGTACCTACAGATGATAGTATTATACTTTGTACAACATTTTGATCATATATCACTCATTTTTCAATTTTTCATTAAGTACTTCAGAAACAAGAATGTTGATAAGCCATGATTGCAGTGTTTGTCTTCTAAATTCCCTGTGCTTCTCGCACCTGCTTAAACACTTCATCTTTTGGAAATGCTGGAGGGGGTTATAGAAGTTATAGTTCTTATGAAGTCCGGATAAATTCTTTGTTTATTTTTTTTTACATTTTCTATCATTTCATTGTTTTGATATTGCTTTTATCGTTGAGGGGATTGCAGACCCATGTGGAGTCAGACGAGGGCAGGGATGAATGTTTCCGTTTTCCCTCCTGTGTCCCAGTGAAGGTGAGGGAGGAAATGCTCTCTGCTCCTTCGTGTCTTACTGCATCCGTGCCCAGGGATGGAGATGGTTGTTTGATGTCATCTCTGAGGCCCCAATGTGGGGAAGAACTTTCTGAGGTTGTCACTTGAGTGATTTTGATTATTCTGAGCAGTTTGGTATGTCACACTGAGAGCTGAGAAGTTCTTTCTGAGGCCTGTTGATTGACCACGTGTTCCTCAGTGTGTTCACACTTGCTGCAAAGCCTTGTCAGGAGTGATGTTCAACCTGTCCTGCTTTCCATCTTTTGATGAGATCCTTGAAGTCATTTTTCATGTGCATCAGGGGATGCATCTATTTTTGCAAGGGCATCAGCAGCTGAGATGACCCAGTCACATGTGCTTGTGATTTTTGCCTGAGTTCTGGGATCCAGTGCCGCAGTCTAATTGGGAGCCCCCTAAAAAACCTCACATGGGAGGTCCTCAGACCTGGATCTCATATGTAACCAGCTGGTGCCATTTTGGGCTCTGTTCATTTTCTCCACCAGCCAGGGCACATACCAGTGGCGCTAGCTGCCTTGTCATTTCTGCCCCAGCCTGCTCGCAGGCTCACCTCTACACCACTCAGGACAATCTGAGAAAATCCCTACCTGGGCTGTCTCCAGGCCCAATTTTCACCTGTGCCAGCAGGTACTTCAGCCTAGCCCAGTTAGGCCTACCCCTAGACTCAATTTTTCTTGCATACTGGCAGTTGCTGTGGTCTAATTGGGGTAATCTCTATGAACCTCTAGTGTGCTTACTCTCTACATGACAACAGATGCTGCAGCCTTGCCAGGTCTGGGCCACCTCCAGCCCTGTTTCTTGCACATGTTGGTGGGTGCTGTAGCCTACCCCATCCTGGCCTGCCCGCAGCTCCAGTTCTCACATGTTCCTGTGCAAAGATGTTCCCAAAGATCCTGAACCAGGCCCACTCCCAGTACATTTCTGTGTGCTAGTGGGTGCTGTAACCCAGTCCTGTGTGGCCTGCCTCCAGCTCCAATACTTGCCAGGGGGCGCTACAGCCTGGTTGGGGCCCACAAGAACCTGTAACAGACCTGCCCCGACACATGGCTCTTGCCAACATGTGAATACTGCAAGCTACCTCAAGCATATTCTAAATATTTGGGGTAATTTAATAACATCTCTGATGTCTCTGACATCTCACCTTCTGGAGAATAAAAGGTATTTCTGTCATGAGATTATAAATAACTAAAATATACACAATTTCTCACATTCTTGATTGTTAACTGAAAATAATTACAACCCCTTAAGTGTTTGCTATCAGAGCACATTTGCATATTAGGGTAACTTTTGCCTTCATTATGTTGGTTAGGGAGGAGGTAACTGAGATGTTACAGAGATTAGAACTCTTTTGAAAGTCGGAATTACAGAGAGTAAGGAGGGTGCAGGAGGGACTGATTTTCCATCCATTTTTTTCACTCCCCAAATAGCCGCAGTGGCTTGAACTGGGCCAGTGTGAAACCAGAATCTGGGAGGCAGGAGCCTCTTCTGGGTCTCCCACTTGGGTGCAGCGGCCCCCATGTGCACCTGTGCTGTCTTCCACTGCTTGTGCAGGCACATTAGCAGGGAGCTGAGTCATGAGTGGATCAGCCAGGACTTGAATGGGTACCCACGTGGGATGTGGGCTATATGCAGCAGCTCTACCTGCTATGACCCAGCACTGACCTGCTGTATGAAATGTTAGATTTGTGTAACATGCATTTGATTTTTTCATTTTATATAATGACTATTTAAAATAATTAAGAACATTTCAGTTATAATGTAGTGACTCTTTTCAGAAAGACAGCTATTATATACAACACAAGAAACCATAATCCTGGGTAATTCTAGTATAGAACGTTTTATTTAAAATTTGCTTGTAGCAAATCTAATCGCCATATTGTACCCTATATTTTATTGTATTTATTCTCTATAAAAACAATATAAGTGCAGTTGGCTTTTAGGTTTAGACTATATTGAATTTAGTTTTGGATATTATTCATCATTATGTAGTAGCAATAATTACAGTATTGAAGTAACTGAGAGGGTATTATTTATTGAAAGATGGCTCTGTACTCTTCCTTTATGTGCAGAAATTAATTATGTACCACTCTCAAATTAAGTTTGGAGTGATTGTTCAGTCTGTCCTACTAGATGTGAATATTTTTGTTTTTATCAATGTTAATACATGTATTAGAAAAAGAAATCCTAAAAATCAATCGACAATAAAATGATGAGAGCAATTCTTATGAGATTATGAAAGAACCATGATGCCTACTCTTGCCTCTTCTGTTTAACATAGTATCAAAGATTCATCTGGTACTAACGTTACAAAACCTAAAAAGGAGGAAATACAAATATAGTGATTCACTGATGTTTTGACTATGTAGAAAATAGCAAAGATGTACCTATGAAAATACTAGAGGATAAGTGTGTTTAGGAAGATTGGTGTATATAATCAGAAAAGCAGGCCAGGAGTTTGGCCTAGCCATTAAGTTGAGCTTTGGGATGCTCACATCTCATTTCAAATGCTGAATTGAAGTTGTAGTTCCGCTCTTGGCTCCACCTTCCCACTCACACACATGCTAGGAGACAGACAATAGGTGATGACTCCTGGAGCTGAGGCCCTGGCAGCCATGGGGAAGACCTCACTTTAGATTCTTGGTTCCCAGCTTGTAGCCTTGACTGTCACAGGCATTTGGGGGAGTGAGTCAACACATAGGAGTACTCGCTCTCTTTCTCTTTCAAATGCATAAGTGGATACAATAAGTGAATCAGAAAATCAAGGAGTTAGGAAATGAAATCTAAAATAATGATTCATACATAAGTATATATGTGATATCAGCACCCACCAAAAGGATGAAATACCTAGCAATAAATCTAACCAAACTCATACAGAAAATCTTTGCAGAAAACTATAAAAATAATTTCCGAGGAACTAAGTGAATTGAGCCTGTGAGCTCCCCTCTAAAGGTTTCTAGAGTCTCAATTAAAAAAAAAAAAAACTGTACCAGGTTTGTTTGTGCTGAGCTCTACCATAATGGAAATGCAGAACGCCATAGTTAGTAAAGCACTGTTGGTTAAGGCAGGCTGGGCGGGGGAGCTTTACTCCGTGTCAATTAGCCATGCTAACTAAGTCAGTGGACAGTGATAGACCAGTGACAACAGAAAGTAGAGAAATGTATTTATGCATGAGTAGACTCTTGATGTGACAGAGTGGGAGGCAGGGAAATGAAGAAGCCACTTTTTAAATAGTGCCACATTGTGGAAAAAAATAGAATGATGCCTGCCTCACGTCATACCCCAACTCA